TGGCCTAAGGTTCAGGAGGCCTGTGCTGACTGACTCTCTCTGTGTGATACTAGATATTCTCTTTCTCTCTCTTGGCCTCAGTTTCCCCGTCTGTAAAGAGAAGTTGAGCCGTAAGACCATTTTGGTGAGTTTTTATTCCGAGTGGTTTGCCAGGCCTTTCTGGCTCCCACCTTCCCACCCCTCCTTTCCCAGAATCTGTAGATGCTGAAGGCTTAACTGGACAGGAATGTTGACTGGAAGAGAAAGGGGAGCCCCCTGCTGGCAGATGCTAGGATTGTCATACTCAGACCAAGGCCTACCCCTCCCCACCTCTGAGTCTAGGTTTGTCTGGGATCCACCAGCTGGGAATGTTTACAAGGGCTCTTAGCTTTGGACCATCCTGGACCAGCCTGCGGTCTTCTGAGGCCAGACTAATGGAGATCTGACCGTGTGGAATGAGGCTGTGTCTGGGGCTGGCTGAGGATCCTGCAAGCAAGAGGGGGTGACTACACACACACCCACATACACACACACACACACACACACACCCCTCCCTCCTTCCAGCAGCCACTGAGCAGCCGTAGGGTGTGCACGAGAAGGCCAACCCGCCTTCATGGATCCCTCGGGAAGCCCCTGGGATGGTGTGGCCTCTGCAGGAACAGCGTCTCCTGGCGGGAGTGACGGTGTGAGTTTGGGGCCATCCTCTGGCTGTGCTTTCATGGAGTCAATGGAGGAGTGAAAGGGGCTCAAGGTCAGAGTCCAGGATGCAAGTCCAGGTCCACTGCTTGAGCCGTGTGGGTCTTGATGAGTAAGGGACCCTCTGCGCCTCAGTTTCCTCCTCCGTAAGGCAGGGGCAGCCCCACCCCCAGCACCAGCTCCGAGGAGCAGGTGAGGCTGACCGGGCTGTGCGGAGGTGGTTGGGGGTTGGCAGCAGGTGTTGGAGGCAGCAGGGTAGCAGGCTGGGTGGGTCCTGGGGCCAGGTGGGTGCTGTCGCTCACCACTTGGCCGGGTTCCTTAATCTCCATGGATGCCACTTCCTTGTCTGTCACTGGAATGAATTAATAAGGTGGTTGTGAGAATTCAGAGACAAAGATCCGTAAGAGACTTGAAAAGTGTCAGGCACGTGGGGATCACCTTAATGGCTAGGAAGCTGAGGCCTGGGAGTAAGTGACAGCTCAGGGACTCAGAGGCGGACAGAACCAGCACCCCCGACCCCAGGCCGATGCTCATCCCCCCGCCCATCGACATGTTGGGGGCGTGGTCATCAGAGTGGAGTGTCCTAGGACCTCAGAAGCCAAAGGACGTTCTCAGAGTCCAGCACATTCATGCTGAGGGGAAACTAGGGCTGAGAGAGGGGAAGGTGAGAACCTGGTCCCCACTCCCCAGTGAGGTTCTCACCGCAGGCACTGCCCGGGGGGCAAGGAGAAACCCCTCGTGCTCTAAAAGTACCCTGCAAAGCCCCTCTTTCCAGGCCCCCGAAGCTCTGAGTTTACCTGTTCCGTTCTCCTTGAGTATCGGCTGTGGCCTCCTTGCCTGGGCCTTGGAGGGAGGGTCTGCTTTGCCTGTGGGGAGAGGGTCAGTGCAGAGACCTCCCTGCTGTCTCCGGTCCCCACCCGCCAAGAGGGGCGTTTGCAGAAGGTGTGTGCGCTGGTGCCGCTCCACGCTGCCCTACATCTGGGCGACTCTGCTGCGGCAAGGCCCCCTCAGAAGCCTGCGAAAAGTGACATCCCCAACAAGTACCATCGACTTGGGGCTGCACCTGGGCCCTGATCACACCCCTCATCTCGTGCGTGCATCCGGCCTCCTCCCAGTTAGAAGAATAGGCCCTCCGCACACGCCCTCCCTCCCACCTCAGAGTCCCCACACGCCCAGGAGCCAGGCTAGCCTCCTTCCATGACCCCGCAGGGCCCGCCAGGCGTGACATCACCCGTCACCATGGCAGTGGTTCCACCGGCCTGGCTGCTGGAATGGGGCACGCCTGGGCGAAGCCGGTGGCTGGGAAGGCGAGCGGAGGCCGGTCATGCCTCGCAGACCTCAGCAAGTGTGAGGAATGTTTGGAGAACATCAAAAACGGTTTGAAAGCAGAAATCAAAGCATCCCTGTGATGAAGGAAGGAAGGAGGCATGTGGTGCTCATGGCGGTGTGCATGTCGCTGTATAGTGCTCATGGCCGTGTGCATGTCGCTGTATAGTGCTCATGGCCGTGTGCATGTCGCTGTGTGGTGCTCATGGCTGTATGCATGTCGCTGTGTGGTGCTCATGGCTGTATGCATGTCGCTGTGTGGTGCTCATGGCTGTATGCATGTCGCTGTGTGGTGCTCATGGCTGTATGCATGTCGCTGTGTGGTGCTCATGGCTGTATGCATGTCGCTGTGTGGTGCTCATGGCTGTATGCATGTCGCTGTGTGGTGCTCATGGCTGTATGCATGTCGCTGTGTGGTGCTCATGGCTGTATGCATGTCGCTGTGTGGTGCTCATGGCTGTATGCATGTCGCTGTGTGGTGCTCATGGCTGTATGCATGTCGCTGTGTGGTGCTCATGGCTGTATGCATGTCGCTGTGTGGACCATGTGCATGTCGCTGTGTGGTGCTCATGGCCGTGTGCATGTCGCTGTGTGGTGCTCATGGCCGTGTGCATGTCGCTGTGTGGTGCTCATGGCTGTGCATGTTGCTGTGCGGTGCTCATGGCTGTATGCATGTCGCTGTGTGGTGCTCATGGCTGTGCATGTCGCTGTGTGGTGCTCATGGCCGTATGCATGTCGCTGTGTGGTGCTCATGGCCGTGTGCATGTCGCTGTGTGATGCTCATGGCCGTGTGCATGTCGCTGTGTGCTCATGGCCGTGTGCATGTCGCTGTGTGGTGCTCATGGCTGTGTGCATGTCGCTGAGGTCATTTCTTGGGGGGTTCCCTGCCAAACCTTGTTTCTTAAGTAGTTACAATAGCAGCGCCCTCTGTAGCGACACCCCATGTGATGGAGGCGACAGTAACGTCATTCCGGCTCCGTGGGGACCACACCCACTTCCCCACCCCTCCCCAACCCCGGTGCAGGGTCTCCGTGCTCCCAGGCCCTGCTCCTCTGCGTGCAGTTTCTCAAGCAGGTGGTGGACACGTGGCTTCTGACAGGCAGGCGGGGGCACGGCGCCTTCTATGTTCCCACCGTGGTTCCAGAGGCGCCTTATCGGCGTTGGCAGGTGGTCTTCCCTTGGCGCTCGTGCCCAGAGACCCAGCGCTCGTGTTTCTCGTCCTCGGCCTGGCAGGCTGCAGCCCAGCAGTGGGCAGAGCCCAGAGCGGAGAGCCTGTGGGACGGAACCTCAGCGGAGCCCTTTGTGGGAGGAGTGATGGCACTTCCCACGCCTACCTTGTGGCAGGAGTGCGCTGGGCTGCATGTAACGGGAAATCCCATAGACAGGGGGGTTTCTTTTTCTCCTGTTCTAATGAATTCTGGCCTGGGTAATGCACCAGCAGTCCAGGCTCCTTCTGTCGGTCTGTCTGCCCCCCGGTTTCAGCCTGTGTCTCCATCTTGGTGCTCGAACACACAGCCGTGCTCCCAGCAGGAAGGCAATGGGAGGGAGACGCTGTGACCTTTTCTGTAAAGAGCGCAGCGGATCGCCCAGTAGACATCTGTGTGCATCTCAGTTGCCAGAACTGGGACACGTGCCCCTCCAGCTGCAAGGGAGCTTGGGAAGCTGTGTTGTAACTGGGCACAAGCAAACATGGGGTTCTCTTGGGAAGAAGGAGGGCAGACAGAGACTCGGGTCACCCATGCGCATAGGGGCTTGTCTCCTCGATCAGACCTGCCACCACCCAAAAGATGGGGACCCTGTCTTGCTCAGCCCTGTCCCCTCCAGGCATGGAGCCTGGCACCCAGAAGATGCTTAACAAATAGTGGGGGGGAAGGGGGGCAGCTCCCGCTCTCGTCAGAGGGGGAGCTACTAATCTGAAGGCAGAGGCCTGGCCCTTGCTCTCAGGGAACCCCCAGTCATAGCCGCCGCCCCCTACGGAGGCCACCAGCACAGACGTGTGCTCGTGTCAGCCCTCTTCGATGGCGGAACAGCCAGCAGCACGCAGCTCCTGCAGCGCGTGCACAGTGCGAGGGGTTGGCGCAGTGGGCGGTCCGTGGAGGCCGCAGCGTCACGCCCTCCGCAGCCACTTGGCAAAAGGGAAGGAAGCCCAGCGGGGCTATGAGGGGGAGATCCCCTCCCGAAGCTCCAGTCCCGAGAGGAAGTCTGGTTCCCACCCAGGTGAGGCGGAGGGAGGTACATCAGAGCCCAGGGGGGTTCATTTCCAACCAGAGGGCAGAGGGGTGACCCCCACGGGAGCCCATGAGACCTGCTTGGCAGCCGCTTCTCTCCACTGGCACAGAGAGCCCGCCCACGGCTCCCGGGACGCCACGGCGGTCACTTCGCATGGGTCAGTGGCCTCCCTCGGAGCCACCCCCTGGCGCTTCCCTCTGGTTCTCACACCCCACCGGTCCCAGGCTCCCCAGGCCTCCGGCTCCTTCACATTGGGGACCAGCCAGTTCAGAGCAGGGATAGATGGGTCATCAAAAACGTGCCGCCCTCGTTGGATCAATAAAACTGAGAGGTGACAATAGGGACTCTATCAACAGACAGGCCTGGGTTCGAATCCTGAGAGTGCCACGGAGTGACCTGGGAGCTTGGGGGAGAAGCTTCATGTCTCTGGACCCTGTTTCCTCATCTGTTAAACAGGGGATCGATGCCCTAGCTGGTTTTTCTCAGTGGATAGCGCCTCCGCCTGTGGACTGAAGGGTCCCAGGTTCAATTCTGGTCAAGGTCACGTGCCCAGGTAGCGGGCTTGATCCCCAATAGGGGGCAGCTGATCAATGATTCTCATCATCTTATCAATGATGTTTCTCCCTCTCCCTCGCCCTTGCTCTCTGAAATCAAAAAAATATATATTTAAAAACCGGGGGTGGGGGGGTGTCGAAATAGGGTCCCTCTTCAGCGTTCGGGGCCGGCAGACAACCAGGATCCCAGGACTAACGCGCTCTTCTGTCCCCCAGCCATGAAAGCCGACCGGAAGCGCCTGAAGGGCGAGAAGACGGACCTGGTGAGCCAGATGCAGCAGCTGTACGCCACGCTGGAGAGCCGCGAGGAGCAGCTGCGGGACTTCATCCGGAACTACGAGCAGCACCGCAAGGTCAGGGCCCCCTCCCCTCCCCGGACACCGGCTCTCCCCACGCCCGGCCCGGGGGTGGCCTCTCCCACCCCCCTTGGGAGAGACTCTGCTCATGTCACCTGTGGGGAGGCCTCCGACGTGTCTCACCCGGCCCAGGCACTGAGCTGAAACAGGCACAGCTCTTAGCTGAGGGCTCCGTGGCGTCGGGGCAAACACACATCGACAGGATGGCTGAGGCGGTGACAGTGGGGGCTCCGGAGACAGACTGGCCTAGGTTCAGATCCTGGCTCCCCGTGTGTGTGTCCCTGGGCATCTCAGGAACGGGGTGCAGACTTGAGGAGCTGTGTGAGGACCGTCTGCGATGGTGAGCGCAGAGCACGCCTCAGTGAGTGTTAGCTCTGGGTCTGATTCATGACACCATAACGAGGGTGTGAACAGAGAGCCGGGAGCTCCGGTGAGGCGGCAGGGACTTCTGCAGGCAGGGAGACCGTCTTGGAAGGCGTCACAGAGGAAGTGGCTGTGAGCTGGGCTCTATGGGATGAGTAGGAGTTTATGATCGGCTAGCCGAGGAGCTTGGTTCACCAATTGTGGGTGACAGGGTTGTTAGACGAGGCAGGATGGCCGCCTCTCCGTGGTCCCGGGCCACATGGAGACCTGGAGGTTAGCTCCTGACGTGGAGAACGGGAAGGCCATGGCCGGGCAGCTGGGCAGGGCCCCCTGTGGGGACCGTCCTCTGGGGAAGGACACCTGCGGTCCTGAACCTGGGCTCTGGGCATCAGAGGTCGGGCCCCCGATTCGGCTGCGTGTTCCTTGCCTGCTAACTTGGCTCCGGATGACACAGCGGAGCTCCTGCGAGGGGCCCAGCCCGGAGCAGGGCCAGGTGCCTGGCCGGGAACTGTGCCAAGGGGTCCAGCCTGTGTCATCGGGGGCTGTGACCCTGTGGGGGGGTGGCAGGGCCCCTGGCAGCCACGGGGACTGGGCTGCAGGCGTCTCCTTCTCTGTCACATACATGTGACCAAACAACAAAACAAAGCCTCAGACCCACAACTGACCCTAACGTTTGTCGGACTCTGTTTAAATGTTTCCCTCACATGAACTCAATCTTTATAATAATTCTTTGAAACAAATAGTATTGGCCCCTTCCCCCCAATTTTTCAGAAATATTTTATTGATTCCAGAGAGGAAGGGAGAAGGAGAGATAGAAACCTCAACGATGAGAGAGAATCATCCATTGGCTGCCTCCTGCATGTCCCACACTGGGGATAGAGCCTGCAACCTGGGCAGGTGCCCTGACCGGGAATCAAACCGTGGCCTCCTGGTTCCTAGGTTGACACTCAACCACTGAGCCATGCTGGCTGGCTCCCCCACCCCCCCCATTTTAAATACAGAGAAAGCAAGACTGGATGAAGTCAAACAACTTCCCTGAGACAAACATTTGCTCAGTGAGTCACTGAAAAATGTTTCCTGAGCCTCTGCCAAGGGTTTGTGTCTGTTCCCATCTCCCCGTAGTTTGTGGCATGGCTGGGACTCGAACCCAGGGCTTTCCCACTGCAGAGCCTTCTGTGGTCGGGGGTCAAGGCCCCTCAGGATATATCTGGGCCATGAGGAGGCCATGCACTCCCCATGTGACACCCTGCTCCCCCCCACCCCCCGCAGGAGAGCGAGGATGCCGTCAAAGCTCTGGCCAAGGAGAAGGACCTGCTGGAGCGGGAGAAGTGGGAGCTCCGGCGCCAAGCCAAGGAGGCCACGGACCACGCCACGGCGCTGCGCTCCCAGCTGGACCTCAAGGACAACCGGATGAAGGAGCTGGAGGCTGAGCTGGCCATGGTGAGCCCCTCCCCTCCCTGCCCTGCCTTCACACACGCAGGGCAGTGGGACTTGTGCTGGGAGACATGGTGCAGAGAATCCTGGAGTGGAGTGGAGTCAGGCAGAGCAGGACCCAGGAGGGGAAGGGGCTGGGGGCGGGGTCTGTGATGATTGGCATCTTCTTCCCACATCAACCCCTGAGCCTGGGGCAGTCTCTCACCCACCTGCCTGGGCCTGGGGCATGGGGTGCTGGGAGACCATCCACTCTTCCGCACTCCCCAGGCTACTGCAAAAATAAAAGCCCATTTTTTAAAAAATAGATTTGTTTAGGAAAACATTTGGGAGGAAATACACAAAAAAAATTAACAATGGTTACCTCTGGGTACTAGGATTACAAGTGAGTTTTATTTTCCTGTGTGTGTGCGCGTGCGCGCGCCCACACCTGTTATTTTCATCTACAGTGAGAATGTCTTATTTGGGTTGTCAAGGGGAAAAGTGTTACTTTTTTCTAATCCAAAACAAACCTTCAAAATACACCCCAAAACTGTTTACTGCGGTGACCCACAGCCCGCACATGGAAGCAGAGAGCCATGGTGTGTCTGGGCCTGGCTGAAACACCGAGGCCCAGAGCCCTGAAGTTTGCTCCGCCTGCTCCTGTGTGGCCTTGGGCCGCTCACTGCACTTCTCTGGGCTTCAGTGCCCTTTATCTGGAACTAGGTGGGGCTGAGGGTCTTCATCCCGCCCTGTCTGCCCCACCAAGTGGCAGGGAAACACTTGGGAGCCCTGAGGGCTGGGGAGGGCTGCCTGGCTCCATGTTCGCCTGCAGAGCACAGATGCGTGCTGACAGTGTGGTTACAGCCGTGGGTTCCAGGTTCGAATCCAGCCTGTCACTTTCTAGCTGTGTGACCTTATGCAGGACCCGTCACCTCTCTGAGCCTCGGTTTCATCCGGTCTAAATAGGGTAATGGCCTGTGTCTCCTGGGGCTCTTGGGAGGATGTCAATGAAATAACGCCAGGGATGTGCTTAGTACGGTGCCTGCACATGGTGATGGATGATATGAGACAAAGGTTTTCTACAGTCACTTCCTTCCAGACCGCCCTGGTCAGGATCCATGGGTCCCTCTTGGGACCAGCTCAGCCCCTACTTACCTCCTGGGTCTCCTTGTCCGATGCTGACCCCTAGTGGTGAGGACTGCCCAGGCCCGGAGGAAGCTGCTGCTGTCAGTCCCCTTTGGGGTGGAGGTGGGGTCAGCGGTGCTGGTGCCTCTGCTGCCCGCCTGTTCTCCCAGGTCTGCCCAGTGCCCTGGGACAGACAGACATGTCTTCCTTGCCTGGGAGCACTGGCCTCAAGCATCCTAGGAAATTCCAGGGTCTTTCAGGGTTGCGAGCCAGAGCGCCTCTGCTCCCGCAGTCCCCATGCCCAGACCACTAAAACTCAGGTCCCCGCCTCCTCCTTCTGGCAGGCATCAGACCCCTCTGCTAAGTGTGAAGAGTTAGAGTGAATGTCTGCAGCTCAGGGCGATGGCTTTGTTATAACAAGAAGGAGGGCTCGAACGCAGAGGGAAGGGGCTTTCCTAAGAGCCCTGACCGCCCCTGTGTTGTTGGGGTGTCCACCGCCATCTGCAGGATTCACCACCTGGAGGCCTCCGGGGCTGCCTGCGCCAGGCGGTGTGATCCAGCTCCCCTCCTGCACTGCTGGCCGGGCGATACCAGAGGGGAGGTACCATCCTGCAGGTACCCCTTTACGTACTTGGCTTAAAACTGCAGGAAGCAACTCTGGCTTGTGTAAGCGCACAGGCACACATTGGAGGAAATCAGGAGCTCACGGGCCCAGTGTGTGTGCAGGTTTTTAGCTTTTTATTGATTTCAGAGAGGACTGAAGAGGGAGAGAGACAGAAACATCCATGATGAGAGAGAATCATCGATCAGCTGCCTCCTGCAGGGCCGCCCACTGGGAACTAAGCCTGCAACCCGGGCATATGCCCGGACCTGGAATCAAACTATGACCTCCCTGTTCATAGGGATGCTCAGCCACTGGGCCATGCCAGCTGGGCAAGCATGCAGGTTTTAATAAGACTTCACGCTCACCTGCAGCTCCCCTCTCCGTCATAGCTGTGCCCGAGGGTTAAAGTCGTGGGCGGGCAGTTTGGGAGAGGATCCTGTGCTCCATCCTCAGGACCAGCCTAGAGAGACACCCCGCCCCTCACCACCACCCCCACCCCCGGTTGTCAGGAAGCAGTGATGTCGAGCTGCCTGCTGAGTTAGAAGGGGCCATTCCAAGTCCCCGGCAGGTCAGGCTCCGCCTGGGAGAAGAAAGCCGGTGGGGCCCGGAGAGCAGCCCTGCCCGGGCCTCTCTCTGCGATGCCATAACTGGCCGGGCTGCTTGTTTCAGGGGCCGCTGGGCTTCCCTCGCTTCCCAGGTGTGGGGCTGGGAATGCTGCGAGAGGGCGAGCGGGGGGTTAACTGCACAGATGGCAGACCCGCCCGGGTGCTCATTGCTCCCCCTGAGTCCACCTTCAGGGCAGCCAAGATGGATTGGGCGGGAGGAAGGGAGCGGGCATCCCCCCAGGAGCAGCTGCCAGGACGGAGAATCCGGACGCACATGCACGTGGCGGGGAAAGCAGGTGTGGTGCCGAGTGAGGTGCGGGGTCCGGGAGACGGGGGTCTGTGTGAAGCGGGGCTGCTGCAAGCACACAGCAGCTCTGAGCCACGCCGGCCTCGCTCGCTCCTGCGGCAGAGGGATTGCCCCTGGTCCTGGTCTGCGTCGTTTATGCTGGTTTTCCTGTCCCAGCGGAGGGTGGGCACCTGGGAACCCACAAGGGGCTCAGTCAGACACCCAGGCTTGGAGCCCAGCTTGGATGCTGTGCCTGCTGTGCATCTTGGAGAAGTCACTGAACCTCTCTGAGCTTCTAGTTTCTCCTCCATCAAGCACAGATAATGGCACACTCCCTACTTGAGACCCAGGCTGTCACACTGAGCACACGAAGGTTTCCTAAGCAAGGGAGGAGATGATTACCTGGCTCAGGGGTGGGGCTGACACCCTCAACTTGACCTCCCTCTGCCATATAGGTTTATATTCCCCAGGGGCTGGTGGTGGAAGGGAGGTGATTTCACAGACTCCTGGGGTGTCTGAGCTGGAGAGAACCCTAACGATCGCTTGGTCCAGGCTTTCCATTATACAGATGTGGAAACTGAGGCTCAGAGAGGGCGGGGACTTATCTAAAATAACAGCTGGTTCGCATGATGAGGCTCTATCAGGCTTGAGGCCAAGGACTGTCTGTTTATGGGCTGGAATCTCCGCTCTGCCAGAGGAGCCTGAGGCCTTAGGGAAGGTATGGGAAGTTCTGGAGCAGGAGAGAGGAGGTGAAGTCTTTCATTGCATCTGCGTTCATGTCAGGGGCGAAGCCAGCACTCACGGTGGCTCTGCCATCTGTAACGACCCCCTGGGCATCAGATTCACCGGCGAGCTCAGCGCAAGCCCCTTGGGCCCCTCCGCGTGTCCCCTCTGCCCTGTGTGAGCCGGGGGAGCCAGCCGGGAAGTGGAAATAGACTGTGATGAATATGGATTAATACATTAATACGTGCCTTTTTTCTCCCCAAAATAATCTGCTATTGTTTCTGATAAAACCCCACATATCCTGGGGGGAGGTAACCGAAAGCTGACAGAGACCTGTCACCGCCTGAGGAAAGGACGAGCTGTCCGACCACACACCGCCCTGACTCAGCCCACCCTGTCCCTGGGCTTCCCGTGTCCCATGCCCCTCGCCCCGTGGCCCTCAGAGCCAGGGGAGGAGTGGCCGCCCCAGTACGCTGTACGCTGCACCTTGTGAAGGGAGATCACAGGTTGAATTTGGGAGGAGCTAAGGTGATGGAAGCCAAAACACCGTTTTCTTACAATGTCCTTCAAGTCCCAGCCAGTCCTCAGAGAACCCAAAAGAATGGGTGATAGTGTGTGTGTGTGTGTGTGTGTGTGTGTGTGTGTGTGTGTAGGGTGGGGGCCTCTTTCTCTCCGTATTGCTGGTCTCACTTGAGTGTCAGGATCTAAGGCAGGGGTCCTCAAACTTTTTAAACAGGGGGCCAGTTCACTGTCCCTCAGACCGTTGGAGGGCCGGACTATAGTTTAAGAAAAAACTATGAACAAATTCCTATGCACGCTGCACATATCTTATTTTGAAGTAAAAAACAAAACAAAACGGGAACAAATACAATATTTGTATTTGCATGTGGCCCGCGGGCCGTAGTTTGAGGACCCCTGATCTATGGTGTAACCCAGGGGAGGCCTGCCGTGCAGGTGCTTGGCTTACTGACTGGCACTCACGCAGCCGGCGATGCCCAGGCCAGGGGCCAGTTTGTGGTTTTCTCATGATGGTGGGCGGTGGCCGAGCAGCCGGCCACGAGGTCACGGCGTCCTCTTGTTCCCTGGCTCTTTCTCCAGGCCAAGCAGTCCCTAGCTACGCTGACCAAGGACGTCCCCAAGCGGCATTCACTCGCCATGCCAGGCGAGACCGTGCTCAACGGCAACCAGGAGTGGGTGGTGCAGGCGGACCTGCCGCTGACCGCAGCCATCCGGCAGAGCCAGCAGACGCTCTACCACTCGCACCCCCCGCACCCTGCAGACCGGCAAGGTGGGTCCTGGCCGGCAGGCCCAGCCACAGCGGTGGGGCTGCTTGGAGGTCCTCTGACCCAGTAGGGAAGGCAGTTTCTCCATCTCCACTGTAGCTGCTTAGGCGAGTGTGGGGCCCCAGGCCCAGATAACTGAGGTCCCTGGGAGCTCCGCCTCTTCCTCTCCCTCACCCGGGTTAAGAGGGGGCCTACGTGGACCCAGAGGCGATGATGGGAGGTTCTTTCTGGAAACTGCTCTCTGATGGCTGCAGAACGGAGGGGCGGAGAGCTGGGCAGGGGTCTTCTCAACAGCTCAGTGTTCTCCTGGGTGTAACGGGGCGCTGGCGCCATCGCCTGCAAGGCAGTCAAGGTGAGGCCATTCTCTCCATCCCTCACTCACCAGCTGTCCCTGCTTTCCAGCGGTCAGGGTGAGCCCCTGCCACTCCCGGCAGCCTTCCGTCATCTCCGACGCGTCTGCCGCCGAAGGCGACCGGTCATCCACGCCAAGCGACATCAACTCCCCTCGCCACCGGACGCACTCCCTCTGCAACGTAAGGCCAGCAGCAGCGGGGCCTGGGCCCTGCCCGGAAACCGCGGGGGCGGGCGGAGGGCTGAAGACGCACTCGCTCTTTCCTCTCGTCCACCCAGGGAGCACTCTGGCGGAGGCATTTCCTGTTCTGTTCTTTCCTTTTGCAAGAAGAGATGGATGTGGGGAGAGAAAGAAAGGAGGCCCATTTGCTCCTTGTGTCCGGGAGGGCAAGGAAAATCCAGAGGAAGGCGGGCCTGGGTCGGCGTGGGGTCTGTGCAGCCCGGGGTCCCCTCTGGTGGGCTGGGTGAGACCGCGGGCCCTCCTCCCAGACGTCAGCCTTCCCAGCACGCTGCCTTTCCCTGTAGGGCCGGCTCTCCGTCTTCATCCAGGAATGAGCCCCAATGTTTTGACTCTCAGAAGCCTTGGCACGTTTTGTCATGAATTTGTTCTAAGTTCGTTGGCTCTGCTTATGTAATCGGACACGGCTTGATTGCATACTGGGGCCAGCTACCAAGAGGCACATGTCCCCAGCCCCCTACCTCTTGATGACTAGTAGGGCGACAGACAGGCTCCCAAGGAGTGAGAGGGTGAACGAAGGTGGGTCAGGGGTCTGAGGACTGGACGCCGCCGTGTCTAGGCTCCAACATGAAATATTGGGGTCGGGTGTGGGGGCCACTCTCCATTCCTGGTCCATCACGCGGTTGGCAATAACCGGGCTCCCCTGCCACACAGTGAAGACAGAGGCACACTAGCGTAGGTCTTCAAATGCGTGGGAAGGCTTTCTCAAAACCTCAGTCCATGTTGCTGCATTAACCAGCGAGATAGGTAATAAAAAAGAAATGAGGCGAATATAGTGGGGAAGAAAGACAAAAGAACCATCACTTGCCGGCGATATGATTATCTACCTGGGAAACGCAAGAGAATAACCTTGAAAAGCCATTAGAACTAATAATAAGCTAGTACATAACAGTGCTGGTTGAAAATCAATTTATAAAAAATCAGTAACGTTTCTATATACAAGTAATCATAATGGAAACATTTTTTCCTATCTGCACTAACAATGAAAAGTGCTTATAAAAATAGCTGAGGCTCAACTTAAGTTGCTGCGTGGGCAGCGGGATTGCTGGCCCGGGGCCCTATTCAGCCCACATCGTAATGGGGAGGAGGTCGCCTGCGGGCCTGGGGCCCCACCAGGGGCTGGGATTCTTTCCTGACTGGGGCCTTATGAAAGGAAGCAGTGTGTTCTCTCGTCCCCAGGAGAGCACCCTGCTGACAAAGGCTGTCTTGGCTGACAGAGCCAAGGTGAAGAAGGTGGACCACTGCTAGTAGAGGGGCTCTGACGTCTAGTCTCTGGTTCGGAGCGGCCACTGTTATGTTGTACCCACAGCCAGCATCTTACAGCGCACCCAGAACCTTCTGGTGTCTGTGCACAGCCCCAAGGAGAATCCTTCGCAAGGGCCTTTTTTTTTGTCTCCCCTTGTTGGGCCCATAGTGGCCCTGACAGCCAAAATGCCGTTGGAAAATCCAATCTGCAGAAAGGGTTCTCTAAAAGCCTCTTGAATTGCATTGGCACAGGCCTTGCCTTTTGCCCAACTTGGCCCTGGCGCATTGATTTCCAAGGTCACCTCCCACAGGGCCCTGCAGCGGGACGCGGGGGCTTTGGTAAGCCAGTTGTCTGGGTACAGGCATATCAGCGGGCACCGGCCTCATTCTCTTCCCCATACACTGGGCAAAGATGGCCAGCCCTACCCACAGTAAACCTGTTTTAGGTGCCTGCCGTGAATTCTGTTTGTGCATCTTGAGATAGGACTAAAGACTAAACTACCATTTGTTCCCTTCCCACCCTCCCTCAACCACCTTCATGCCACATATCAACAGACGTGCACACAGGTGAGCCAGGAAGAGCCTGAACATAGCTCCAGGGAACCCTTTATTCTCAGGCATTTGACCTGACAACAGCAAGAACAGCCCAGTCTGGACTAAGGACACCCCCCCCACACGTCCCCTCGGTCTCTGGCCATTAATTTAGAGCAGAGGTGGCTGGCGTCTGAGCACAGAGAGGTTGGAGAAAGTTGATGGACAGGGCAAGTGACTCGGACTTTGTTTCTTCATGGGCACTTTGCCTGCAATTCTGGAAACAACCACCAGGGGACTCCCTGGTAATGGCTTTTATGATCAAAATGACCCGTTTGCCCCCAGAAACAAAACTGATTCTGGGTTTTGTTTCCTTTTTGTGTTGTATGTTTCCTTTTGTTCTCCACTTTTGTACACTATAGGAAGGAGAACTGGCCCAGGAGGAACCAGACTGTCCCAAATGTGTATTGTATTTCTGCTTTTAATTAACTCGGTGCTGCTGGACCGTCTGGAGCCTGTGAATCTGTAAATCAGGCTGATGCGTCCTGCCCTTCCACAGAATACGAGATTCATTGTGTTTGAGGAGTTAGAGGTTACAGTTTCCTGAGTCTTCCTGTTCCAAAATTCTTTATTTTTGTCCCTTTTTTTCTATAAAATTCTATTTCTTTAGGAAAAGCACCAAGTATAACCAACCTCCAGTTCTAACACAATGGACCAATTGGGGCAGGAACTTAGAAGCCTTTGAGTAACTGATTTGTTGGTCAGAGGGTATTGGGGGTCGAGAACAGGCAGGGGAGCACCCCGGGGCCTCGGGCTAGGCGCCCTGATCCAGACAGCCTCTCAGTGAGCCCCAGGCCCTCCCCACTGAGCCCTGCCGGAGTGTCTGCTTCAGGGGTGAGGGTGGGTTCCCTACCTAGAGGCAAGGTGGTCCCTAAGGGATGGCTTCCTTTCACGGACCATCTCTGCTCTCATGTGGCCTGTGTGTCTGCTGTTTCATCTTTCTCTTCTCCTTTGGCCACAGGGCGACAGTCCCGGCCCAGTTCAGAAGAACCTGCACAACCCCATTGTACAGGTAGGTGTGCCTTCCCTGGGTTCTTGGGCCCTCCCTTCTCCCCTGACCATGCCTTCATCCCTTGTTCCCCTGGGCCCGTGGCATCCCCCCTTCCATACTGGGGCACCCAAAGCAGAGAGGAGTTAAGGAGTCACATGTGGTTGGGGCCCGAGTCAGGCTTCCCACCTGGGTCTGCCCTTCCGTGCTCTCTCTGGACCTGTAAACCTACTAAGTGCATCACACAACCTCCATCCTGCTGCCCTGGTAGTGTCTTCTCTTGGCAGCCAAAGTCTGATGAGCCAAGCCATGAGCTCATGGGGCCCCTCCTTGCAGGAAACTTTTATTCATTTTTAACATTTCAGTATTCTATCATCAGGGTGAGGAGGGGATCTGCAGGGAGGAAAGTGACATGAATGTGGGGGTCAGAGGGGTCTCTAGGATCAGTTTTCTAGTCCCAGGGTTCACACATGCTGGTCTCTGCAAGTCCCATCAGGGTCCACCAGGGAAGTGTTTCAAATGTGGATTACTGGGCCCTTCACCCTGGAGAGCTGGATCCACCACATGAGGGTTGGGCCTGGGATTCAGGGAACATATTTTAGGAACCATTAGTCTAGTCCAGTGGTCGGCAAACTCATTAGTCAACAGAGCCAAATTTTTTAAACTTAAACTATATAGGTAGGTACATTGTTATTAACTTAATTAGGGTACTCCTAAGGCTTAGGAAGAGCCACACTCAAGGGGACAAAGAGCCGCATGTGGCTCGCGAGCCACAGTTTGCCGACCACGGGTCTAGTCTGAGCCCTGCCTTTTTGACAGAGAATGGTACCCCATGGCTGTACAAAGCTCTCCGGCAGACACCAGCCCCCAACCCCCGTAGTTATCCCATCATCAGATCTAGACCCCAAGCCCCCGCCTCCCCACTCGACCTTGGCCAGTCCTGCTTCTTGTCCGGGGACTTCAGATTCAAGGTCCTTGCCCTTGGCGGACACAAAGCTCCGGTTTCCTCCGTCCTCACTCTCCAGGCTCCCAGGCCCCCTTTTCCACGGGGGCTTTTTCACAGGGAAGGTGTGCCCTTGCTCAGTGCTCCTGTGGCCGGGCCATGGCCCAGTGCATGGTCACACTCCTGCAAGCCCTCAGGAGGTACCAGTAAGGTTGTGGGCAAACACCAGCTCGCCGTTGTGGAATGTTTATTATGCATTTTTATCCACTTTAGTGACATTCTCATGACAGTCTTGGGTGGGTCCTACTGTTGTCCCTGAGGGTCCCTAACTGGCCCAAGATCCCTGGCTGAGTGCAGGCAGACCTGACCACTGGAGGCTCCGCCCCCTATGCCCCTCCCCAGCATCTCTGCCGCTTGGCCGGAACAGTCACTAGAGGATCTTGAAGACCAAAAACGGAAAAAGAAGAAAGAGAAGATGGGATTTGGCTCCATCTCCCGCGTCTTCGCCAGAGGGAAGCAGCGGAAGTCCCTCGACCCCGGCCTGTTTGATGGTACCGCCCCTGATTATTACATAGAGGAGGACGCGGACTGGTGATACCCGCCTCCCTGCGCCCGCCGCCCGGCGGG